TGACCTTCGACAAGAATTGTGCTGCCATTAGACTAATTCGTGAGTCCAGGGAGAGAAGTTTGCCTCCACCTTGGGCCACCCAGAATGATCCTGGCAGCTTCATTTTGGACTGTCTCCAATTTATCTTAGTATTTTTTCTTTATGGCAATCAGAGCGACTGAGGCATAGTCCACAATGGGCAGGATGGAGAGCCTTTGGTAGCTTTGACTTTTCTCTCTTTAGTTTTTGTCTGTGTTTTTTGTTTTTCTTACCTGGGTAAGGTCAGCATGTTCCGGCTCTGGCTTTTGAGTTGATTTTTCCATGTATTTGGACAGTTACTTCATCCTCTCACGCCCCCACCCGCCACAGAGTCCAACAAGGGGAAGCTGAATGTTAGAGCCAGTGTCTAACAGCTACAGGGATGATGAGAGGATATACGCAGCCAATAGCTATTGTAACAGCACTCATGGACCAGTGTGAGTGCCAACAGCAGCATAACTGCTTGACCCTAACCTCCTGAAGGAGACCAGGCAACTGGCCTGACCAGGCCATCTGTCTTGCTGGAATAAGGGACAAAGAGGCATGTTGCTAGCTGCAGGGCGTACTCATTCACGGCATTGCTCAATGTCCAGGACTCCTGTCTCCACAGCGCATAAGGCTGCCATGCACAGCAAACACGTGGGAATGTGTAAACCCATGTGGAGAGCCCAGAGGGGATGCCCTTCCACCTACAGGACAGTTTCACCTCAGTAAGGGAAGAGAGGCCCTGCACCTATTCACAAGGAAGTTCCTTTATCCCTCTGAAACAGCCACCCAAAGTGAGGGAGGAGAGGAACTACCTTTCGAGGCGGTTACTGTGGCGGAACGGGAGGACGGTGCTCTGTCTAGCAGGAGCTAATTAGACAGAACCAGGCTGACGGCCTGAGAAAGGGAGGGCTCTTACCTACCAATTCATTCCTATGCGAATAAACTAGAGTGGCAGTCGTTAGATGGTCTGCCATACAGTCCTTAGCAAATAGAATGGTAACTCTCTGCACATGGTAAGTTAGGCACACTAAGACACACCCTCCCTTGTGGGAGGTAAAGGTCTGCCCATGTCCGAGCACCAGAAGGTGCGCAGAGAGCTATCCTAATGCCGAAAAATCCTTAGAGGAAAGAATAGGCTACAGGGCACGAAGCTAAATGCAAGCAATTAGCATCGTGGCAGCAATGAAAGGTGAACGCGAAAACGCCAGGGTAGTGCGCAAGGGCCAAGGCCGAATTTACTGTGGGGCGGGTCCAGTACATCTCTTTAAACTACCCAAGCAAAAACCTTGAGACCGAGAGGTCATTAGAGCTCTTGGCGTTATCTGGTTTGGTGCAACCTACTGCGACCCATCTGAATCAGCCGCCCAAAGGCTGATTCACCGCAGGTGGATCCTGTGGCTGGAATGGCCATTGCTTGTTTTCATTTTTTCATCTGTCTGTGGCACGGTTGCTAGGTGGCGGTATATGTTGTCTAATTGGAGGAATGCCGACAATGGGGCATCTACTATGTCGGTGAGTTGTATGGGTGCGCAATGTCTTCGTTCTTGCAACTTGATGTCGGTTTCTGTTACACATAACATACCTAGTATGTTTTTTGTTGGGAATGTAGAAGGATACATTACTAGTGTGGGTAAAAAAGAACAGTGACAAAAAGACATGTGAAAGAGAAAAAGTTGGACTAAACAGTTACAGAACAACAAGCGGAACACTGGTCAAGAGTAACAATTTGTGGTTTGGGGAGGGGCCGATTTTAAAAAAATAATATAAACTTTCCTGCGGTGATCTGCCGCCGTTGTGCCGGGCAACGTTCATGGTGGCTGATCTCCTGGAGGATGAGAGATAACCTCCCTGAGGGATTGGGATATTTTTTTTTTTTTTTTTTTTTTTTTTTTTTATGATCGGCGTGAGCAGAGGGGGTGAAAGTGTGTTTAGGCTGCGATGCCACCGGGGGTGGTTTGTGTTTGTGTTGTGTGTTTCAAGGTTATTTGTGTAGAGTGGATCGTCTGCTTGATGAAATCTCTCCCATGTTTTATGAGCTCATGTGTGTATGCAGGTGTTCAGTTGTGTCGCATGGAGAATGTGCGAGAGTGTGATGTTAGGGTATCGAATGTTTTCAACCCAGTGCAGAGCTTTGTTCAGTATAGACTGCATGTTCAGTTGTTGTGTTTTTTATATGGTGGGTAGTGGTACTGATGACTGTTTTGAAGAGTTTTAGCTTTGTGTTGTGCACTGCGAGAACCGATGTAGCTTAGCGAGTGCTGCGGTTGCTTGTGTTATACTTTGTTTCGTGTGCGGTGTTATACCCCATCTGTTGAAGGAGAGACCGAGTACTTTCCCAGAGTTTCCTCAAGGAATGTCTGTGTTATGTACTTGTATGTCTTATGGGTTAGCAGGGGTGTGTGAGTCTGGCTATTGGGAGGATTGTGAATTTCTTTGTTTGTATTTTCCACTTCCTCTTGAATGAGTTATGTTTGTGATAGCTGTGTTTATGGCA